CTACCTCAAATCCATGTTCTCATTAAGCAAGAAGGATTACCCCCACAAAATGGTGTTTTGAGGTGTCTAATATAGAGGTTTGTATAGGCTCGTCTGCCTTGATGTTCTCTTGGGTGCATGAACTACAGGCAACACATACCACAGTGTGAGCAGTGGTATTTTCAGGTAAGTTTGTACGATATCGGTGTTAAAATCTTTATTTATTTGCCTGAGGGACTCGAGATGTCGTGTACATGGGGAAATTGGGTAAATTTGATTCTCTGATTCTTTCCTTCGTGGTTGACGATGGTCGGTTGCTAGTAGGAGTGAGTCGGGGCATCCGCAGGATTCTCGGATTCGGAGATCATAGGTGGCCTCGCTTGAGTCGGTTTACGATATCGTCAATCTTAAGAGCTGGGCCGAGTTTCATGCTCAGCAGTGAACGCATGGTTTCAATGTCGAGAAGCAATAGAGCAGAGCCGTCGATTTCCTGTAATGCAAATGATAGCAAGCTGTAATGATGCTTACTAAGAACCTACTTAAATGGAAGCAAGTGAGGAAGTAGGGTCATAATGTCAAAGAGGATCCAACAGAGGTGTTAATGCATGCTGCCGACACTAGCAACATAGCCTATTCTACCTGTTCCTTAAATGTGTTGGCAATCTCTATTAGCGATGGGTCCTTGGAAATGAGGTAGTTATACACGTCGTCTGTAGACCATTCTGTAACGTTTGGGAGGGGACAAGGTCCAAGGTCTGTCGAATAAGAAAGCAATAAACGCCGAATAAGGTCCGTTTGGGCGGTTTACAGCTTAAGGATAGTAGAGGGAAATGTGGCGCACCCATTGAAGCAGGCGAGACTGTGGACTGGGAAGGCATTTGGGTTCGTCCGAGGAATGGTGGGTCGCCATTGTTACCAACGCAGGGGAGAGCTGGACTGCGCTGTGGGGGTGTACCAATTAAGGGAGAAAACTTAGTTGAGAAAGGAGCCGAAAGTGGTGGCGGCGGTGTTTCCATGGTGTCGACAAAGAGTTGTGTTGTTGATCCAGAGAGGTCGCCTGGCCGTTGACGTATTACTAACTTCGTCGGTTTGCAGAGGTCAGTAAAACTGAAATATGCAGTGGAGTGCCGTGATGAAACGAGTAATGAGGGAGTCCGGTCCTACAATTTGATCTTGGGTGTTATAGGGCGTCATTAAAAAAAAAGGGATGCCCATCATCTGGTCCTCAAGGAAAATTCTTGAGAATAAAGTGCCGGGTAGCCAGAGATACTTTTCTGCAAAACGAAGCGAGGCAGAAAGACTAGTAGCTTTAGGTCAAAACAAGCCAGAATGGGTTTTTTGCGTTAAAAAGCCAAAAATATTGCTTGTCCTG